TACTTGATAATGCGGGTGAGGATAATCCCCCTACTATCACACTGCCTGATTCGTCTACTCCAGAACAGACTACCCCAGTTCCTACACCCACGGAGGGTGCCACAATCCCTCCCGCTGATATTCATGTTCCACCTCAAGCCCCAGCTCCTGGGCCCGGTATTTTCGATGGGGATATTAAGGGAGCTATTCAGATGCTAACTCAGTTAGTAGCTTCTCAGGCTCAGATGTCTAATGTTGCACCCACCTTATTTTGCTTGCAAGGAGATTCTTCTAGTTCCAGGGTAAACAAGTTCCTTCAGTTAGACCCTCCAGTGTTCACAGGTACTGATCTCGGGGTAGACCCTCAAGATTTCATTGATGAGATGCATAAGACCCTCCGAGTTATGCGTGCTATTGATACGGAGGAAGTAGAGTTGGCATCCTATTGTTTGAAAGGGGTGGCATATTCATGGTTTGAAATGTGGGAGGGTTCCCGTGAAGATGGGAGCCCTCCGGTGAGATGGAGTAAATTCGCGGATGCCTTCATAGACCATTTCCTTCCTGCCGAGACTAAGGCAACCCGTGCTGTGGAGTTTGAGACCCTTAAACAGGGTAGTAAGAGTGTGTGGGAATATCACATGGAGTTCGTGCGCCTGTCAAAGTATGCTCTTCATATGATGCCGACTATGGAGGCTAGGGTGCGTCGATTTGTGCAGGGCCTTAGCCCTTTGGCTATTAAAGAGGCTGCCACAGCTGCTCTATATTCTGACATGAACTATGGAAAGATGGTGGCATTTTCCCAAGCTACATAGGCTCAAAAATTAAAGCACAGGATGGAACGAGAAGGTAGTAGTAGGGCCCGATTAGCAGGCAACCTTGGGGATTCGTTCGGAGGTGGGAGATCAGCTTTTCGGGGAGGATCATCAAGTCCATCCCAGTCTTATGCTCAGTCTTCAGCTAGTGCCCCGCCATCAGGGCACGGTCAGCAGCAGGGGAGTCGTTTTAGGCTCGGTCAGGGCAGCAGGGAGTCCCACCATCAAGGTCGATCAGGAGGGAGATTCCAGCAGTAGCAGAGGGCCCCATGCCCTAAGTGTGGGAGGATACATACGGGAGTCTGCTACCTGGACATGCCAGAATGTTACGGATGCGGAATGAGAGGGCATATTCAGAGGGAGTGTCGTGCATCCCGTCAGGGTGTAGGCAGGGGCACAACTCAGTCATCCAGTCCTACAGCTGCTACATCTTCAGCACACCCTCCAGCTGGAGGCTATTCAACACCCGCAGGGCGTGGTACAGCTAGGGATGGTGCACAGAGTTTGGGAGGACCCGACTGATTCTATGCTATGAGTGGTCGACAGAGTGCGGAGGCTTCCCCAGATGTCGTCATAGGTATATTGACTGTTCAATATCATGATGTGTATGCCCTTATTGATCCCAGATCTTCTTTGTCCTATGTTGCTACAAGCTTCGGGATAGAACCGGAACAACTTCATGAGCTGTTCTGTGTATCTACCTCAGTTGGCGAGTCTATTATGGCCGCGTGGGTTTTTAAAGATTGTATTGTCATAGTGCGTGGTCAGGATACCATGGACGATATTATTGAACTAGGGATGATTGATTTTGATGTAATAATGGGAATGTACTGGCTCTATTCATGTTTTGCCAAACTCGATTGCCGAGCTAGAATCATGAGGCTTGAGTTTCCTAACGGGCCAACTGTTGAGTAGGAGGGGAATGATGTTATGCCAAAGGGTAGGTTTATTTCTTACCTTAAGGCCACGAATATGATAAAGAAGGGGTGTATATATCATTTGGTCCGAGTTACAGACACCACTGATGAGGTGCCTACCCTTGAATCTGTATCAATTGTGAATGAATTCCCCAATGTATTTCCGGATGAACTCCCTGGAATTCCTCCATACAGGGAGATTGATTTTGGGATTGATGTGATGCCGGGCACGCAACCTATATCCATTCCACCTTATAGAATTGCGTTGGCAGAATTAAAAGAGCTAAAGGAACAACTAAGGGATTTGCTAGAGAAAGGTTTCATCCGACCGAGTGTGTCGCCTTGGGACACATCGATTCTCTTTGTCAGAAAGAAAGATGGATCGCTGTGGATGTGTATTGATTACCGGCAACTCAACAAAGTCACAATCAAAAACAAATACCCATTGACTAGAATAGATGATTTGTTTGATCAATTACAAGGTGCTAAGTTCTTCTCCAAAATTGATTTGCGGTTCGGGTACCATCAATTGAAGGTAAGGGAGCAGGACATTCCGAAAACAGCTTTCAGAACCCCGTATGGGCACTGTGAATTTTTGGTAATGTCTTTTGGGCTAACAAATTCCCCGACAGCTTTCATGGATTCTATGAATAGACTTCAAGCCGTTTCTTGACTCCTTTGTGATAGTATTCATTGACGACATCCTTGTATATTCGCGAAGTCGAAAGGATCATGCCGACCACCTCAGGGCAGTTCTGCAGACTCTTCATCAACACCAATTATATGCAAAGTTCTCGAAATGTGAATTTTGGCTTGAATCTGTTACATTCCTGGGTCATGTCATCTCCGGAGAAGGAATTAAGGTCGATCCTCAAAAGATTGCAGTGGTGAAGGATTGACCTAGACCTACTACTCCAATAGAGATATGCAGTTTCTTGGATTTGGCTGGGTATATAGGAGGTTCGTGGAGGGGTTCTCCACTCTTGCCTCTCCATTGACTAAATTAACGCAGAAGGCAGTTAAGATCCAATGGTCCAATGCTTGTGAAAGGAGCTTCTAGGAATTGAAATCAAGGTTGACTTCGGCGCCGGTATTGACCCTGCCAGAAGGTACCGAGGGGTTTGTGGTGTATTGCAATGCTTCAAGGATCGGTTTTGGGTGTGTATTAATGCAACATGGTAAGGTCATAGCATATGCTTCAAGGAAACTTAAGAATCATGAAAAGAACTATCCAACTCATGATTTAGAGCTTGCGGCGGTGGTTTTTGCATTAAAAATTTGGCGTCATTATTTGTATGGAGTCTATGTAGATGTATTCACGGACCACAAGAGTCTTCAATACATTTTCAAACAGAAGGAATTGAACTTAAGGTAGAGAAGGTGGCTTGAGTTGCTCAAAGATTATGACATCGACATTTTGTATCATCCGAGGAAAGCTAATGTGGTGGCGGATGCTCTTAGTCGGAANTAAGAATCATGAAAAGAACTATCCAACTCATGATTTAGAGCTTGCGGCGGTGGTTTTTGCATTAAAAATTTGGCGTCATTATTTGTATGGAGTCTATGTAGATGTATTCACGGACCACAAGAGTCTTCAATACATTTTCAAACAGAAGGAATTGAACTTAAGGTAGAGAAGGTGGCTTGAGTTGCTCAAAGATTATGACATCGACATTTTGTATCATCCGAGAAAAGCTAATATGGTGGCGGATGCTCTTAGTTGGAAATATATGGGTAGTTTGGCTCACTTGGAGACATGTCAAAGGCCCTTGGACCGGGAGGTTCACCAGTTGGCCGGTTTGGGAGTTCATCTTACGGACTCTAATGAAAGGGGAGTGATTGTGCGAAATAAGGCAGAATCATCGCTTATGGCGGAAGTCAAGGAGAAATAATACAATGATCCAGTGTTGGTACAGCTGAATGAAGGGATTCATAAACATAAGACTACGGCTTTTTCTCTTGGCATGGATGACGGTATATTACGGTACCAAGGACGACTATGTGTTCCAAATGTAGATGGTCTTCGGGAAAGAATCATGGTAGAAGCTCATACTTCTAGATATTCCGTGCACCCAGGCTCTACAAAAATATATCATGATCTCAAGGAAGTTTACTGGTGGAATGACATGAAGAGGGGTGTGGCGGGCTTTGTGGCAAAATGTTCAAACTGTCAACAGGTGAAGGCTGAGAATCAAAGGCCCGGTGGGTTAGCTTAGAGTATAGAAATTCCAATGTGGAAATGGGAAATGATCAATATGGATATTGTGGTAGGTTTACCGTGCACTCCACATAAGTTTGACTCAATTTGGGTGATCGTGGATCGACTCACGAAATCAGCTCACTTTTTGCTGATTAAATCCACCAACACTGCAGAACAGTATGCTCAATTGTATATCAAAGAGATAGTTAGGCTTTATGGAACTCTAGTTTCCATCAGTTCCGATCGAGGGGCCCAATTCACAGCTAATTTCTGGAAGAAATTTCAGCAAGATTTGGGTACGCAGGTAAATCTTAGCACGACTTTCCATCCACAGACTGACGGGCAAGCAGAGCGGACTATTCAGATGCTTGAGGACATATTGCGTGCGTGTGTGCTTGACTTCAAGGGTAGCTGGGATGATCATTTGCCGCTCATAGAATTTGCTTATAATAACAGTTTCCATGCCAGTATTCAGATGGTGCCGTTTGAGGCCTTGTATGGTAGAAGATGTAGATCGCCGATTGGGTGGTTCGAGGTTGGAGAAGCTGAACTAATAGGACCGGACCTTGTGCATCAGGCTATGGAAAATGTTAAGATTATAAAAGAGCGGTTGAGAACTGCTCAGAGTCTTCAAAAATCCTATTCGGATGTTCGTCGCAGAGACTTAGAGTTCAAGGAAGATGATTGTGTGTTCTTGAAGGTATCTCCCATGAAGGAGATCATGCGGTTTGGAAAGAAAGGGAAATTAAGTCCGAGGTATGTCAGGCCGTATAGAATCATTCAAAGGATAGGTCAGGTGGCGTACAAGCTTGAGCTACCACCTGAGATGTCATTAGTGCACCCGGTATTCCATGTGTCCATGTTGAAGAAGGTAGTTGGAGATTCGTCTGCTATTGTGCCAGTTGAGACCATCGAGGTTAGTGAGGAACTGTCATATGAAGAGATTCCGGTTGCTATCCTTGACAGACAGGTCCGAAAGTTGAGGAACAAACAAATTGCATCTGTAAAGGTATTATGGCGAAACTAGCAAGTCGAAGAAGCTACTTGGGAAGCCGAGAATGAAATGAAAGAGAAGTACCCTCATTTATTTGAATAGCCATGTATTAGCTCTATAAAGTCCCCCCCCCTAAAAGTTTGTATCACTTGTTCACCTAATATAAAGACACTCATTTCTAGCTATATGTCCCCCATGAGGCTTCGGTTGGTGTTATTTTGCATTCTGTTGTGTCATTTAATTCTATATATGTTGCTAAGGTGTGCTTCGGGGGCTCTCTGACAGGTGGATAGGCCTCAATACAGAGGAAACTCTGGCAAAATTTTCAGAAAATTAGAAAGTTAGGCAAATTTGAGGCTGATGGTATGTGGCATAACTGAAACTGTGTTAAGTGAACCTTGATCCTCATTCGAGGACGAATGATCTTAAGTGGGGGAGGATGTAAGGACCCGTAAAAGTTTTAACCAAAATCTTGGGGTTTCGTGGTCCCAAGATAGATTCCTGCGTTACTATAGTAGAAATTCTTCGGTTCGGAACTTTTTGGATTGAACAGTACCCTACAGACTTAGAGGCAAATATTTCACAGAAGAACGCATTTCTGCGGCCCATTATGCGGCCGCATAATCACTCTGCGGACTGCATATCAGTCGCATAATCCCTCTTGGGTTTTTGCGGAGGGAGTTCTGCGGTGCATTATGCGATCGCAGAACAAGTATGCGGACTGCATACTGGTGGCATACCTAGGCCGAAAGTTTAGGCCCCTGAGGAGCATTTCTGCGGTCACTTTGCGGACCGCAGACCTGTGTTGGGGCACCCTTTTTCTTAATTTAAAACCCGACCCCCATTCCGTTAAAACACCCCTTTAGTCTATTTTGAAGCTCATTTCTAATATATCTAGAGTAAGAGAGAGGGTTCTAGAGGGAGGGCCTCATTTTTCATCAAATTGATCTTCATCCATCACTCAAAGCTTTGAAAATATTCAAGTAGAGCACCAAAATTCTTCATCCTAAAAGGTAAGGCTTCATCACCCCAGCTCTTAATTTCAAACATAGCTATAATGGGGTATTAGGGTGATACTTCATGGGTATGAGGGTGGTTTATCTTGCATGCATGTGTGATAAAGAGTGTGGGGAAAAAGTGGGCTAAAACCATGAACCTTTTCCTAATTTTGGCTTCAATTTGTATATTGCTAAAATAGATTGAGGTTGCTAAGGGTTCCAGATAATTGTAGAGCCTAAAGAAGCGCAATTGAGGTATGTATGGCTAACTCTCTTCTTCCTAGAATCGAAATCCTGGTGTCCGAATAATGGGTGTAAGTTCCAACTTGATCATACTAGAATTGTTTTCCTTAGTGTGTTGGATTGAAAGATTCATGTTCCATAATTGTTTTACATGGTTACCATGTCATCAT